ACCTCTTCCTGCATGGCTAGAATACCCTGGAACTTGCCGAGGAGCTCCGCCGAAGACGCTAGGTAAGAATGGTTGAGCGTCTCCGGGAATGCGAAGGTGATGAACACCAGCGCGATCGCAATGTAGCATGCGACCGAAGTCAGCATGGAGTTGAGGAGGGTGTACTGTGCGACCGGGAAAAGCGGACCGAAGCTCTGTAGAGGACAAGAGTGTAAGATAAAGTCGCTATATGCTAGTGTTCACTCACGCAGAATATGTCGATAGCAATCGTGCCGAAGACACTCATGATCGTGAGCTTCGGAGCGTACGCCCTGACAAGCGCGAAGATGAAGCAGCCGAAGCCCATGAAGACTCCGAAGACGACCGTAGACCTAGATGAGTATCAGCGGCTGTCCCGGAAGAATACATGCAATGCCGACCTGGTGTCTAGGAAGTCTCCCCTGAAGATGGCGTTCTGGAACAGCGCGTCAGGGTTGGCAAGACCAGCAGCGCTACAGGGAACGTGAGTACGCCAGAGAATTCCCTCGGACGGAACGCACGCACCTTGTAGCCTCTTTCTGCAGCGTTGCCTTGACCAACGTTTGGTCTCTTACCGCGAGCGCGGCAGCCATACCGGCACACGATATCGCCCACCCCAGTGCGATACCCAACACCAAGGTCGTAACCGCCTACAGCGCGCGCGGGCTTAGCCCTTCTCCTGAAACACGAGATATGTGAACACTCACAAAAATGAATAGTTGTACGGGCATGTTCGGGGGTATCATGATGCTCAGCAGCAGCGCGAAGAACGCACTAGCACATACCCTCCTCTTGAGCCACCACATCTTCCCCACCACTACAAAGGCGCACTCACGTATTTCCTAACGTCGCCAACGACTTGTTGGGCACCATGATCACGAAACACACCCACGAAGCCACCCAACATCTCAGCAGCAGCTTCCAGGACTTGCCCGAGCGCAGGTTCTTCGACGCCCATGGCGGCAGCTTGTCCCAGAGGCTGCCATTCGGTGGCGGAGGAGCTGGCGGTGATTCCTTCGTCGAGGGCCCGCCGTTAGGCCGCTTCTCCTCTACGGACATGCCTCTAACGGTAGACGGTCGTGGCAGAGACGATGGGGGCAGCGCGGGTAGAGGGACGCGTTTTCAACCACCGATCGCGCGGGCGCACGGTGTATAACCCGGATGCGAACAGAAGGTCAGCGGCGGGTATGCTTGATAGATCCGGGCGGTTGAGCGGGTAAGTTCAGCTGTGTGAGACTCGGTACCGTTGTCGTACAATGGTAGGCGTGAGGGAGGACAGATGAGGGCGTGTATACTCAAGCAGTGACAAGGAGAAGCCATGGTATATCGAGCGGGGAAATGTATAAAGGAGCGCTGCTGCAAGGAGCGGGTGCGTGCGTTCGCGTCGGTCACGGAGGCGCGGACACCTTCCCCGCCGGCGGCTACGCCCCGGCTAGCGTCATCGAAATCATTATGGCCGGCCCCCGCACCTCCCGAGTCGTCCATCGACAAAATTAAAAGCACCCATATCCCCTTCGAGCCTCAAATGTTTGCAAGGATCGCATCTGGATCCAGTGTGGGTTGGTCTAGTATGGTGAGGCAAAATCTAGATGCTGGTGAATCCATGCTACGTTTTACACATGTACAGATTTCTTCTTCCTACTACTCCTCCCTGAGCGCGCGACATCTAAGCCGAGAGCTTCTTGCGAAGGACGCTCTTGAGCGCCTCGCCGTCCTGTGCGAACTTGCGGATACCCTCGTGAAGCTTGTCGTTCGCCATCTCGTCCTCGCAGAGTGCCCAGCGGAACTCGGCCTCGTTGTCGACGTACGTGACCTTGGGGATCTGCTCGCCCTTGAGAGCTGTAGATGATGAAATATTAGCATCGCGCACGGGGATTATTCATACAAGCACTAACCTGCGCTCGCGTCGAGCTTCTTGGGGACGGCGGAGGTGTCGTTCTTGAGCTCCTCAAGGAGGTTGGGGGAGATCGTGAGGAAGTCAACGCCCGCAAGAGCGGTGATCTCGCCAGTCTGTTCGAAAAGGGCCATCAGTTAGAAGCCCATATAAACAGCAAGAGGCGCACGCACGTTACGGAAAGAAGCACCCATGACGATCGTCTTGTAGTTGTGCTGCTTGTAGTAGTTGAAGATCTTCTTCACCGACTGCACACCGGGGTCCGCGTCGCCGACGTAGTCCTTTCCGGGCTTGTTCTTCTTGTACCAGTCGAGGATCTGTGCACATGTTCAGTATCCCACCGCTCAACCTCCGCGTGGAGGTCACGTACACGGCCGACGAAGGGCGAGATGAGCGTGACGCCCGCCTCGGCACACGCAACGGCTTGGCCGAAGCCGAAGAGGAGCGTGAGGTTGCAGTGGATGCCGTCGTCGCGCTCGAGCTCGCGCGCAGCCTGGATACCCTCCCAGGTGGACGCGATCTTGATGAGGATGCGCTCCTTCTTGATACCGAGCGACTCGTAGAGGGCAATGAGCTCCTTCGCCTTCGCCTTGGTCGCCTCCTTGTCGAAGGACAGGCGGGCGTCGACCTCGGTGGAGACACGGCCGGGGATGATCTTCAGGATCTCCTTGCCGAACTCGACAAGCTGGAAGTCGTGGTCAGTTAAGAGAGAACGCAAATCAAGCATGCTCGAGCACTTACGAGACGGTCCATGGCCGCATTGGTCTGGGTCTCGATGT